GAGATTAAGGCGATGTTGTTGTTGAAACCCATTCAACGGTTTGTTATGTTCTTGATATGACCAGGTCGGAGGATGCGATCGAGATGCTGGAACATGTGGTCGGGATAAGGGAGGAGAAGCTCGGGACGGCGAATCCCGACGTGGAGGACGAGAAGAAGAGATTGGCCGTGCTTTTGAAGGAAGCCGGCAGAAACAGAGGACGGAAGGCTAAATCCCTCGAGACCCTTCTCGATTCCAATGCTATTGTTCCCCTGAGGGAGGAAATTTAACCATATGTAATAGAAATTCGAATTCAATTCAAAGGGAAATTATAGGATGTTTCCGTGTGTGAATGTTGGTTGTATTAATCTTGCGTTGTTGGATGAGATTATTCTCTTTGTATCATAAATCACAATAATGATATTATTAATAATATAGTAACTCTATTGTATAATTGGTCGGAACATTGTGAGCTCCAAGGAAACAGGAACTGTGTTTGTGTTTGGAGTCCATGGAAAGTTATTTTGGATTATATGACGTATTGCGTTGGCCCAAAGTATTGAAACATATATATATATACTATGGAAGATATTACGTATAATCAACCCTAGTTCACGCACGCTCCTCGCTCGTCGACCTCAACGCCTCCCCCTTTCTCTCCGACTCGACCTCCATTCTCCGACTAGTCACGACCTCTCTCCCTCCCTCATTTCGTTGGACGCGAGACCTCTCTCTCTCCTTCAGTTTGTCGCCGACTCGTCGGAACCTCTTTCTCCGTCACAGGCGAGTTCGATTTGTGTTTTCTGAGCCTCCGAGGTAACGATTTGTGGGTTTTCTCTGAGGTTTTCATAGATTAGGGGTTGAGTTCGAGATTTCCGTCGATTATGGCTTGATTTCTAGATTTTCTCTTCTTGCTGATTCTTCTTCCCGGCCGAGTGTCGAACCCTTTGAGATTTCCATCGATTTGTGCATGCGTGTCCGACTCTGAACTCTATGAATTTTTTGTAGTAAACGTGTTAGGCTTGTTTTCGAGATTCTGTGGATGATTTCTTCTGAGGTTAAGTTGAGACGAAATTTTTGTATAGATTTTAGGTGTTATCTTGTTTTCGAGACATGTTCTGCTTCTGTTGTTATTCGTTTGTGTTTCGTTATCTTCGAAACGCCGAATCTAACATGGTTTCTGGTTATGTTTACGATCTTAGTCCCCAATGTGTATTTTGGACAATTTGTCGAATGTGGTTGAGATTTACAGTACCAAAGGGAAGATTAGGAATTATGATGAGCATGACGAGGAACAAAGTTGTTGTCGACTGAGAATTTGAACTTATTGGTCTACTAATTGTTCTGTTTTCTTTCTCTTTTTGGTCTTCTGTTCTTTCAAAATTATAGGTAGTGGTCGCCATTGTTGTTGGCGAACGATAAAAGATGGATGCCAAAGTATCTAGCTCGCCCGGAAGCCTCACTGATCAGATTGTGGTGCGTATTTCTCCCCACTCACTTCTTTTGATTCCAATTAGGATTCGATACACGGAATAAGAGCGCTTGGATAATCTTTCAGGTTCCGGGAGACGTGGTTCTTGATTTATCTGCCATGACTAACCAAACAATCAAGCTTGGCAGTGGCCTTCGTCAGGTTTTTCCTTCTCAATATGGAGTTTCGGTGCCAATTACATCCTAGCTAACCGCGTCATTGTTTTAGAATGATTGATATTTGTTCTTTTATTTATGTGTGTCAGCGTGTCTTTTCAAACCATAGTGGCCAGGAATATGACAATTGCAAATTGTTGGATGAACGAATTTCGTGTTGGATGAACGAATATCTCAATGACTTTGCAAATTGACAGTATTACCAATTTACTCAACCGATGTGTTCTCACGGCCATTATTCATGTGACTGCTTGAGGATTGCCGTGAAATCAGTACCTTTATAGAGTGCATTATGATCTGTGAGCCATAGCTAAACCAATATCTGAATTTCTTCAGGACGGTGATGTGATATCCGCAATGAAAGCTGGGAAATTGAGATACTCAAAGCCAAGTAAATACTGGGTGGAAAGTTCTCATAAAAGGGTGAGCACATCAGATGAATGAATCCATTCTTGGTTGGTTATTCCTAGTGTCCTCTAGCCAAAGCAGTATCCAAACTAATCGTCCACATCTGGAAACTCTCTAGTAAGCCATTCGGCTTTATCGAGGAGAGGGTTGTCTTTTGTAATTCTGAAATCTGGATTTGAGAAGCATTTGTTTATCTGGCACTCTAGATTTGACAATTATTCTAACAGTATCTAGATCGGTTACTGATTGCCAATGGAGCAGTCTTTCCATTCATTGTTGACTTTGGTGTTGTGGTTTTTGCAGTACACACCTTGCCCGGAGGATCATGTTCTTGGCATCGTGGTAGATTCTAGAGCAGACGTAAGTGTTATGAAGTGTTACTAATATGAATCCTAGAGTTTTGTTTGTAACCATTTTATTGTCTGTTTTCCATCTATATGATGCAAACACAATTTTTTTATAGCACGCTTGTGTTCTTCCGATTCTGGATTTTTCCTCTTCATCCCTCATTGCTCCATTTTTGTTTTGTGTCAAACACTTTTCATGAATTTGCCAAATCCAAAGGATGGAGGATCACTTGTTTGGTGGGTTATCTTGGATAGGCTAATAGTTGGGAGTGGACTTAACTTCAGCTAATAAATTTCAAGGGGGAAGCATTAGAGATAGAAGTCTTTTGGTGCATGTGTGGGTCCTATTAGGACAAGTTTTAATATGATTTCAAACTTAAATCATTTGATATTTGATTGTTTGCTCGTTATTTCATTGCAGAATTTCATGGTGGACGTAAAAGGACCTCAAATGGCGCTTTTGCCTGTACTGGCATTTGAAGGTGGGACAAGGAGAAATATACCCAAGTTTGAGGTCCGTAGAATCGAAGAATTCATGTTTTATTGAACTGTTCATGAAAGAGTCTTGAGGCGGCATTGCGTTCCATGTTTAGTAATAAGTTGCTTGAGATGCGAGAATGTTTCGACGTTGCTCGTGTAAATTATTTTAGTCCATAGGTGACATGTGAGCCTAACAGATTTAGTATTTCATTTGTATGGTTGTAGTCGTAACTATCAAATATCTCGTCTTCTTTTTAGTGATAGATCTGCTGTGTGAAATGATCATATGTCATTTGCTCAGTTTTCAGGATAACATCTTCTTGCAACAGGTAGGCACTCTAATCTATGTTCGGGTTGTGAAGACGAACACGGGAATGAATCCGGAGCTGTCATGTACTGACGGTGAGCCCGTCCATCTTGTTTCTCTGTCAATGTTTGTTTTCCATGTTAGTTTCTGCACTAATTAATAACTTGATTCCATTTAAAAGCAAGCGGAAAGGCTGCAGAATTTGGACCCTTAAGAGATGGTTTCATGTTTGAAACTTCAACTGGTTTTGACCCGTATACTTGCGGTAGTTGTATCTAGGAAATTAAACGAGATTAGATCACATCCTAGATCGACATCAAGGGTAAAAAATTTGGATTAAAAATATTAGGTCCCACCGAAATCAAGATTGAATTGTCAACCGTAGCTTTTTCTACACACTTGGATTGCACTGGACCCTACCAGAAATATTGCATGTTTAAAGTGGGATCCATAATATTTCGGTCACAATGGGTCACAATTGGTCACAAGGATCGATTTAGTGGATTCTTTCAAATGAATCGATGTGATTGTCATCACATCTTCCATATGCACCATTTTGAACTATATCTAACTATAATAATTGAGTTATTCGAATTTTGTGTGTAAAAGTAGTTCTCACAAATGTGAGACATTAGTGTTCATAATCTTTTATGAAGAATTTTGACAATTTTGGTGTTTTTGTATTACAAACTCGTTTTAATGTTTTGTAATTTTGTCATCAACATAATATTTGTGCTCCTTATACCTTATAATAACATACCAAAGCTTGGAAACTACGTTTTCACATGTATTTACCTTCGTCACTTGGTCACAGGTCACATCCGGTCACAATGGTCACATAGTGTAAAATTGCACATTGGTCATATTGGTCACTTGCTGGTTACATGAGACCCAACCACTACTCATGTGAGAACTTATTTACTGTTTTTTAATATGTAGAATGGAACCAAAGTATTATAGCATATTATTTTAACACATTATTATACAAATGTCATAATGTTTTAGTATACAAATACAATATAATACTATTATACAATTTATATTCCTTTATTCATTCAAAATTAGGATTTTTCTCAAACTTTGTCTTGATGCTCCTATTGCGACATGGATCCGCTTTCGGACTTCACTAGGGTCTGGAAAGCGATTTTGTTTAGGTCTCCCACTTTTTGGTTTATCTTCCAATTTTTTTTGTACCCCTTATAGCTTTGCTTGATTATGATATGAGTTTCCAATTGTTATATTTAATTCATCACTCGAAGAGAATATGGAATCAGAAAGCAAAGAGTCCTCCACAAGTACAAGGTCCAAATCACCACCACCACCACCACCATCAACTGTTGCATCATGATAACCATCACACTCTGTCACTATAACTTCTCTAAATCCATTTGAATGTTCAATGTTAGAAAGATATATAACATCTACCACATTATTACTCCCAACTTACTCTTAAAATTAGGGCTCAACATAAAACAATCGTCAACACATAATTCTCGGACAAGTTCAATGTTTCCTTTGACATTTGGCAAATAACTCAATTTGATCTCCATTTTATCTTTGTCCAACTTCATTTCAACACAAAACTCTCGAATAAGTTCATTGTAGGTCACCCCACAAGGGGGACAAAAGAATAACAGTCTTTGGTTTTCCATCACCTTTTTTCTCATTCATATTCTTCATTCTTATTCACTATCCATTTACCATCATATAGAAAATATACAATTTTCGATCTCTCATCTCGTTCGTCCATCATAGTTGTAGAAAGTACAAATACAAAATACAGATCATCTCGACTATTCTGGACACGCCGTCCGTGTGACCATATGAACATAGTACCATGTGACTATTATTACCATTCCTCACTAATCTTGACTATATGACTATGTGACCATATAAACAATCTGACTATGTAATTTAAACCCATGTGACCATTATTATCAATCTGACTATTATAGCGATCATGTGACCGTGTGACCATGTGAATGGTACCATGTGACCATGTGAACATGGTACCATGGGACCATGTGAACATGGTACCATGGGACCATGTGAACATGGTACTATGTCATCTTTGTTTACTATGACAACCGTTATTCTAAAGACTCGTGACTCATATGACCATGTCATTATGTGACCATCTCATAGTGTGACAGTGTGGCCATGCATTTCACCAACTCATATCTATTGTGACCCGACTATTGTGCACATTATCACCTTGTGATCGACCCGTGTGCAGTGTGTACCCATATACTCATGCTGACCATCGTCGCAGTTTACGTATATAACACATTACATAATCATACTTTAAATTTCAGAAGGAGTATATCTATACCATACTCTAAAAACAACACTTAAAACCTAGATCCGAATCGGATATATGACAATATCATACTACAAAGGACAAAACTTCACAAACATCATCAATTAGAAGAAAAGAAGTGGAAAAATCATCATTGTTCATTAAAACAACCCCACAACCATCAATATATATGAAAAACAATAAGATTTTCGCAATCGGTTATCTATTTCCAACTTCTTCACTAATTTTCCACTAATTTTGCTTTGATTTCGAATGATTTTGATGAAAAAATAAGAAGAGAGAGAAAGTGTAGGAGAGAGAATGGTCAAGCTCGTTGAGAGAGAATGGTAGGAGAGAGAAACTGAAAAAATAGAGGAGAGAGAAAGCGAAAAAGAGAAGAGAGAGAAAAACTCTATATTTTAGGAGAAATAATTTTTTATATAATATAATATGTTAAGGATATTTTAGTCATTATGTATTGAGGAGGGTATAATAGAAGTTGGAATTTTTTTTTTAGGAGAAGGGTATAGATGGATGTCAATTTAGCACAGAGTGCAAGCTCCCCAAACTTTACCAAGTTCACAACATCAACTCACGTCCAAGCCACACCACTAAGTGGAATAAATTCGCTTCTTACAAAGTGTTTGTCATGTTCTCCATTTTATGATTTTTATGTCAATATTGATATCACCTACGGTTACATCTTGAAGGGTGTATTGATATATTGACATATTTATAAGTTGAGTATTTATATATATTTATATTTACATATTTTATATTATTGCATGTTAACATATTTGTATTCCATTATATATATGTATATATATGAATTCATTTGTAACACAAATATCATATTAATAAAAATAATCTTTATTCTCTTATAAGTTGTGCTTGATCCGGTATCCCGTCACCACCAAGAAAATTAGGGTTTAGATGAAGAGAGAATTGAAAAGAAAAAATACATGCTGTGATTTGGAAAATTACTAAAGTCTAAAGATACCTATATTTTGCTACTTTTACTTCAATATACTAGAAAAAATAACTAAATTTATACATTTAGAAATATATATCTCTCAAATGATTTTTTCTTTGATTTTCTCTATCCTTTACTTCTACACTAAAGTTTATCTCCACTAACCCTCCTTGATTTTTTTTGGGTAAAGATTGTATATGCATTAAACTAAACAAAACAAACCTTATACATGAAGAGTTTATGATTCCTTTAAGAGGAGATATATGGAAGGTTAAAACCAAAAGGAACTATAGAAAAATACATGGGTATTAAGACCTAATGAACCAGGTAAGCATATCAGAAAATACAAAGTCAAGAAGAAGAGAACCACAGTTGTAACGGAGAGTTCACCAAAGCTTGATCTAACAATCATATCGCAATCACTTTAATCCTAAATGCCTGGTCTATCTCCTTCCAGATAACAGATGAATCCTTTAAAATAGTCATGTAGATCCCGACATTTTTTTCCATCCAAATAGTGTAGATAAGAAGCTGCCAAGTAATACACACACACAAGTGTCGTACCTTGCAAGATCAATCCCAAAGTAGCCATGTTAGGATATCTTCCCAAGAGGTGTTGGCCGAGGGAGGCTCCCATTTCAACATAATCTGTCGGAATAAGGACTATGTTATATGGCATTGGAAAAGTAGATGAGAACGACAATCCGATGAGTAGTCGCAGAATAGGCAGCTCAAAGGGGTAGAGATCCCCCAACTTGACATCCACTCCCTCGTTAGACATCGATCAAGGGCGAAGATATTGAGATTCACTACGAATTCGTAGCATGCGATCATATCGATCTAGGATTTGGTTTCTAGGTTCTCATGCAGTGGAAGAATATATTGAAACCTAGTCAAATGTCATATGCAACCAAACATATAAATTCGAAAGAACGAGTATATCACCATAGAAATCGAATACTTACCTCGATTCTGAAGAAACTTGAAGTATAATTCGATCTGGAGCTTGTTGTAATCATCTAAGACTGAAGTTACAGTCCCTCTACATGTATCCACATCGTGGGAAGGATTTCAAACGGTTTAGAACATATTTGTTGGGATTCGTGAAGAGAGATCGACGTCCAGGACTTGAAATCAGTATTCTGGGGCTTAAATCTCAAGAGAAAAGCTTTCTCTAAGACTCTAGAGTGTCTAGGACATCTGATCTTCGAGCTACTAGGGTTGGGGTGGCTCCCATATTAAATAGAGTTGCCAAAACCCTAAAACACGAAAAAGGAAGTTTTTCCGAGACCTGGACCAATTGGTCTAGGTTCTGGACCGGTCAATCATGACTCTCGAGTTGGACCGGTCAGTCTTGAGCCATGGATAGGCTAGACCGATCGGTCTAGATTCTGGACTAGTCGATCTGGCCATCTGGAATGTTTCAAGTTTTTGACGTTCGTTCCGTCGTCTCGTTATCCTTTTTGGCATCCATCTCTTCACATGTAGTCCATCCCTAGTGATCCATGACACTGTAGGCCCATTCGCAATGGTAATGGCTTCGGAAACCTTTCTCAAACCATAAGTCATGGTTAGCCTCAAGCACGACGCCATGATCACCCATCTAGAATAGAGTTAGAGGTGATCTAACCGAGATAGTAACAACTGAGTTCTTATCCTTTATGTCACGATATCACATATTGAACAAGGGCATAGTTTGAGACATCGTTCAAGTTCAACCGTTTTCGCGTCTTCACAAATCGACTAACAAAATAGATGCAATTCCATCTATAGCGTGGCGATGAGTTCGCAGTCCGAGTTTCATGGGGGTCCAGTGATATCTCTCCTGTTAAGGATGTGACAAGTCATGTATTGCATCTCTACTTTCTCCATATGATTCGTGAACGCATATGTAATACCCCAATTCCCGCGTGAATTATTTAAATTATTTTCGGGAGTAAAAGAAAGATAAAACAAGCCTAACAACATAGAGAATAATGTGAGTTGCCTCTATGTACTCTTGTTTTC